AGGGGACATGCACCCAGCATGCAATTATGAAGGGCCCACGAGTGTTGCTCAGCAGCCCGGCTGCTGCCTGTAGGACCCGGAGTGACAGTCAGGTCTGGGCACCATGTGTGGGTGGGTAGGAGGGCTGGGCACTGCCGCGAGGAAGGGCTGCCAGGCCACTGCCCAGGGGAGAGATGAGGGCATGACCCCCAGGTCAGCTGGTGGTGAACTGCTCTTTTCTGACCCTAGAGAAAGAGGGGAAAGGAGACTTAAGAGCTACCTTGTCCCTGCTCTCCAGGGAGAGGGTGACCTCTGCTGACCATGCAAAGTGTCTTGGAGTCTTCCTATGGTCTCTGCCATCAAAACATGGCCCTTCCCTGGTCTGAGCAGAGAGGAATGGACAGGTCTTCCTGGTATCGCAGCAGCAGGCCAGCTGGATGCCTCCTACTGCCAGGCCTGTCCCCAAGAGAGGGGCCAAGGGCTTTCCAGCTTGTGGGCCAGCAGGGTGGAGTCCTGACTCAGAAGAGTGGCCCGCCTAACCAGCCACAGCCACGGTGCTGTTCCTGAGGACAGGGGCAAACGCTCACAGGGTTTCCAAATGCAGAGCAAGGAACCGACTCCAAGCCTGTGGCTCTAAATGCAGCCCAGATGCCGGATTGAAGCTGGGGTCCAGGTGCATCTGTTAAGCTCCATCTGAGAACTGGAGTGTTCCAATGCTTTAAGAAGCGGTGAGATGGCCAAAGAAGCCTTACTGCAAAGGGGCATTCATGCGAGGACCCTTGCCAACACTCACCTCATGCAGAGGTGGACTGAGTCGAGAGTCCACAGACACCTTGCCCATGAGTGCCCTCACACAATGCCCATGAGTCCCCTCACACAGTGCCCATGAGTCCCCTCACACAATGCCCATGAGTCCCCTCACACACTGTCCATGAGTCCCCTCACACAATGCCCATGAGTCCCCTCACACCTTGCCCATGAGTCCCCTCACACCTTGCCCATGAGTCCCCTCACACACTGTCCATGAGTCCCCTCACACAATGCCCATGAGTCCCCTCACACAACTCTGTGTTGTCACCCAAAGTTCTTCCTCAGTGAAGAGCTTCATTTTCAGCATCTACCAGAGACATTTTCATTTTTTGTCCATGTAGACGGACACAATATCTTTATTTATTTATTTTTATGTGGTGCCGAGGATCCAACCAGTTGCCTCTCACGTGTGAGGCAGGCGCTCTACCCCTGAGCTGCTGCCCCAGCCCCAAGACATTTTCACTTCAAAACAAAACCATTGCATGGTCCTGTGGCGTGTCTGTGTCCTCAGGTGGCATTTCCTGAAGCTCTTCTTTACCAGTCAAACGTTGAACATCCTTCCTTTGACTCCTCATGCTGACACTTCCTTCCCACTGCTGGTCCCCAGAATTCCGTCCTGATGTCACATAGGCTTGAAGGTCTTTTAAACGTTTTTTAATTTTCCGTGACCACGAGACCAATTATTTCAATCACCGGTGGTTCACATCAAAACCACGGAGCACGCTGCACCTCGGTGGTTGTTGGGTATGAAGGGCAATGGTCGCTTTCACGTGTGGCTCTTCTTTGTCCCCTGCTGGCTCATGCACAATCGGGAGATTTTCCTAATTTCTAGAATAAGCATCAGAAACAACACGCTCCTATTCTTCGGCTTCTTTGCCAGTTGCTTCCTCAGAACAGGTGAGAGGCTGTGAGCAGGAGACGGGGAGCCCTGTATGGCTGTGCTCCTCTCCTGGAGCCCTCTCCTGGCCACGTGCAGGAACAGGCAGGCCATCACCCTGAAGGCTTATTCTTGGTGATCTACGGGCATTTGGCCCAGTTAGATGCCCTGGCACTTTTATTAAAGTCGACTGTGTTGCCAGAGGGTGCCTGCCCATCACTGGGGCTTCTCTGCCAGCCTCAGTGGTCCAAGTCCTTTGTGTGGAGCTCACCTGCCCACAAAAGGCACAGGGACAGGTGAGTGGCTCAGAGGCCTGCCTGTCCACCTGAGGCACGTGAGGCCAGGATGAAGGGACATGGGACGAGGCGGTCCTGGAGCTCACCCAGCCCCGTTCCTTCTCAGCACATTTGCTGACAGACACGTGGCTGCGGAGGCCTGGGAACCAACCCAGGAACCCCTCTGTGTGTCTGCAAAAGTCCTGCTGACCCCTGGGTGCACACACACAGGCTTCCAGCAGGGAAAGTGACAATCAGGCCTGCGTGTGGCTGCATTCAAGACCTCAGCTCAGCATCTTTGGCGGGCGACCTGGCATTTGGCCAATCACAGGTAGGGATCAAGCAAGCACTCGAGGGGGCCACACCCCCCAGAGGCACCTGCAGGGCCTCTTTCTCCACTCCAGGGCCACCAGAGGGGGCTGCAAGCCTTGCTGCTTGCGGGCAGCTCTCAGGAGCACTGCAGGTTGGTCAGTGTGACAACCGCTGCACCACCCCCAGTGGGCACTCTGTTGTCCAGGTGTGGGGCACGTGCACACAGTCACTTCAGTGCACATGCCTCACATGCCTAGCATGAAGCTGGAGGACCACAGGTAAAGTTTACTTCCCTGGACCCTGCCCTTGGGGTCTCAAATCAGGCCAGGGGAAGAAAGGGACAAGAAATTTGGAAAATGACAGCTAGCACTCAAATTGTCACTCTGAGTCCAGCAGCTAACCCTTCAGAGTCTAGAGCAAGGAGGCATCCCACTGAGGTGGCAAGTCTGAAAACCCCTCGCTAGTGCCGGCCCAGATCTGGACTTTGGGTACAACAGACGGTGCAGCCTGGGGTGGGCGGACCACTGTGTGGGAAGAGCAAGCCCAGGAGGGGCAGCACACCAGGAAGCAAGCATCAGGAAAATGGCAGGAGACCTGCCCAGAGAGCCTGGGCAGGCGAGATCACACCAGCGCACGGGGAGTGGGGCATGAATCCCTGCACGACCTGCTTCCCGCAGTCCCTGGGGGAGAGAAGGAACGGGCCTCACCCCGTTAGGGCAACTGTCTGTTGGTTTCCTTAGGATCTGGTCACCTCTTTTCCAGAATTGAGCACAGAGCCCAGGGCCATTTGGAAGTGTCTCGGAGCAGGCCAGGGCCGCGTGGGGGGGAAGCAGCCCTCGTGAGCAGGCATTTGTCTCTGCGGGCTCACTGTGTCCAGATCTGATAATAGCTAATTCCACCAAATATTAGAGGGGCTCACATTTAATTAAGGAGTGGCCATTTGTATGCTCCAGACTGGAGGTCCCCACTGCCCGGAGTCAAAGGAAGAGTCCTTCAGGGAATATGCCAATCTTTTCTCATTTCTCTGCAGGGCTCCTGCCCTCTTTGAATGCAATTATGGGAACAAATAAAATGGCTTAACTCAACTCCCCTGTGACACAGTCAGCTCTCTGCTGATAAAACCAGTTGTGTGGGCAATCATTAAATGAGAAATCTAATATTTAACTAAATTTAATAGTCTGTTGCTTTGGTGCTCTTCTGTGAAGGGTGGGATTTAATAGAGAGGAGCGAGCTATTCACATGCAGCTGTGCTGTCAGTGAGCGGTGAGAGCACCGAGTGCCCCACGTGAAGCCAGAACTCCCAGGCCTCAGAGACCAGTGACAGGCACTTGGCAGGTCCCCAGTAGCCCTGGGCAGGCCTCACTCAGGCCTCAAACATTACACACTGAGTAGGAAACTTCTGCTTCTGACCGGCCTGGGAGGTGGCTGAGTGATGCCAGGAACATCTCGCCCAAAGGCATCAGTGAGGAAGAAGAGTGTACTTCCATGAACTGGGAGAGGGTCTGGCCCTGCTCATTTTGCAATGTAGTGACCCAGAGCAGGCCTGGCCACCAGGACACCTCTCCAGCCCAGGCCCTGCAGGTGCCCAGCTGCAAAAACTGGCTGAAAGCAACTGACTCACCTTCTAATTTGCTAATTGCACTAATCTTCATGAGCTCACATTTTTACAGTGGGCCCCACATTTGTACACCCCATGTCCCTCACCTGCTGCCCATCTGAGCCACTCCTGTAGGCAGGCAGAGTGGCAAAGAGATAAAGGTTCTCCCAAGGTCCTAGTGGACCTCCAGTGACCTGGACCTTTGAGATGACCTGGTAAAATCCAAGCACTGGTCTGCAAATTGCCTGGGTCTGGTCACATCAGGGAGCCACAGCACTGATTGGGTAGTTAGTCTCTCAAGCACAGGAAGCCGTCTGTGAGCCCAGTGAACATTTGCTTTGCTTAGTGTTGTTGGAGTTAGGCGTGGAGCAGGGGTCAACCATCCAGCCTCAGTTTCCTTGACTCTTGCCACTCGACAGTCTGAACACCAGGTACCCCTGAGGACCTTGGGCTTTCTGGACACCAGGAGGACCTCTCAGTGTGTTTGGTGTCCCATTGCAAAGCGTTGCCTATGGAGCGTTACTGTCCATGTGTAGAGTCATCCAATCTAGGGTCTCAAAGTCCAGATAGCTTTTTTTAATCTTTATTTTATTTTTATATGGTGCTGAGAATTGAACCCCGTGCCTCACGCGTGCCAGGCGAGTGCACTACCACTTGAGCCACAACCCCAGCCCCCAGATAGCTTTGTACTTAAGAAATCTGAAGTGATTTTGCAGGGAGAAAATATAATGAAGACCACGTTTCAGTGTCCACTGTCTTTCTTTCCCTGGCTACTTGGGCTACTGGGTTTCAACCATCTGACCTAACAGATACATGATGCCCGTTTTCCAAAAGCTAACAGTCCTGAGATGAGTCAGACCAACTCTGCATGAGTAACAAATGCTCTGAGCACAGAATTCCAGGGGTGGAGGCAGCCTGCACAGTGGAGGGACCTGGCATCTGCCTAAGCTCCTGACTTCGGACCGAACTTCCGGACTTGAGCAAGTTATTTAATGTCTGTCTTTCTTGGGCCATCCCATAGAAATAATAACTGTCACTCCAGCACTGGCTAGGGAGCAGGGGGACGAGGAGAGAGCCCATGTGCACACAGGTGTGCAGATGTGCGGTGGAGGTCACCTGTCCCATTGCATGGTTGCCTTCTCTCTTGCAGAACTCTTTGACCTGGAAACGAATGAGCATGTACAGAAGGCCATCAGTGACCGGCAGATGCCCAAAATCGAATACAGGAAGATCGAAATTGATGATTATAGTAAGTGCTCCTCTTTTCCCCTTTAAAAAGGAGAGCTGGGGGGCTGCTGTAGAACCACCCACCGTAGCAGTTGCTGCTGAGCGCAGGAACCCGGGAGCCGTGCAGAGGCTGCATGCCTCGCCACCCACCCCACCCTCAGCTCACCGTGTCCATACCAAGGTGCTCACTGTGGTGACCAGCCCAAAACCAGGCAGAGCACACGACTCCTCTCCTTGGGAGCCAGCAGTTGAGGTGAAAACTCAAATGCTGCCTTGGCAGGCCTCCCAGGAAACAGCCTCCTCTGGAAGTCCCGCCTCCAGCTGTCTGAGGTCTTTGTGACTTTGGCCTCTTGCCTCTGGGGTCGACAGTGAGTTGACAAAGGGCTTCCCTGCCTCTGGAGGAATACAGATGAGAGGTGTGGGAGGGGGGTACTACCTGAGGAGCCCCTGTCACCTGCCCATTGAGGACATTATCAGGAGCACTCCTCTGCACGAGGCACAGGGACCCCAGCGGAGGCTGGATGAGCCTGCAGCCCAAGGGGAGGCAAAGTTCTCATAGTGTCCTCTCACCTGCACGCAGCTGGCTCCCAAATCAACCCACCAGCTTTGAAGAACCCAGTGTAAACTGCCCACCCCAAGCCTCCCTGTCTCCCCGGACTCTTCCCTCCCGGCCTCCGACGCCAGCACCCTGTGGCTTGTCGACTGTGCTCAATCACTGAGACCTCAAACCTGCAGGTTGCCTTCAAGTCCTTCCCCAGCTCCCACTTTCCCAGCGTCTCTGAGTCGTCCCTAGGGCTCCCCTTTGGGTGAACAGTGACGTGACGGCCAGCCACTGTCAGAGCAAAGCCTGGAGGGGAAGAGCAGGTGACCGGCTCCTCAGAGGGTGCTGGGCTGTGCTGAGGGGCAGGGAGGAGGTGCAGGCACCTGGCCTCGTAGCAGGTGCTCTGGGTCCACCCTGTCCCATTCAGTAGGTAGGACAGCAGCTTGTGACCTGGCTCGGGGGGGACCCTGAAGTGCGAGCAGATACCCTTGTGCTCCATGACCTAGAGAAGACCCAGCTACCTGGCAGACTGTGCCTCTCAGGGCAGGGGCCAAGGGCCACCCAGGGAAGCAATCAGATGGACCCCGCTGCCAGCTACAGCTCACCGTGGGGAGCAGGAAGCAAAGGCCATGCCTGTTCAGAGGAGGTGTGAGAAAGGACCCCGATGGTCATGGGACGACTCTCCGGGACATCAGACTGGATGGCCCCTGCAGGGGGTGTTCAGTTGTATAAGAAGCTTGGAGTGCCACTCAGAGGAGTGCCACTTCAGTGGGAAGGAATGCAGTGTGGGGAGGCTGCTGTGACGCCCAGCACACAGGAGGGCTGCAGAGTGGGGCCTGCCTGGCCAAGCCACCCCACAGTGCATCCCCAGCTCACTCAGCCAAACACCCGGGGCCTCTGTGTCCCAGTCACAGCTCACAGTGTGTGCAGAGTCTATTGAGATCACCTAAATGTGGCTAGAAGGCATGTGGGCCACTGTCCTGCAGGAAGCCACGCCCACCTTCCAAAGTCCAAGGGGTCTGTAAGTGTGATGTGCTGCAAGTCCCCCGCCACCTCAGAATCCAGAGTTACCTCTTGAATTGCCCCTCTGTGACTGCTCTGAGGAAGGACCCAAGAGAGAGGGCCTCAGGGACAGAGAATTGAACACAGGAACACCGTGAGCAGAGGCTGGGACAGTCAGCTTTGGCCAAGAAATGTGTTCATGCTGTGGGGCATCGTGCCCAGCGTGTGGGCTCCCGGCCCCAGTGTCCCTGCCGCGCAGCCTAGCTCTCTCCCCTCCACTGCTGTCCCCAAGCTTCCAATCCCGATGCCTGGGGCACCAGCGTCACCCTCCTCTCAAGAAGTGCAGAGCCGGCCTTGAGGAGCCAACGCCAGCTCCCGCCTGCTGCCAGCGCCCCTGGCACAGCTTTACTTGAAAGCGGGCACCATGCAGGGAGGGGTCACAGCTGGGTGTTCGGGGACTGACGCTGCCCCTTAGGAGCAAGCACGTCCCCGGTGCTGGCCCTCCTGGCCTCTGTTTTGTGCTCCACTTCTGCTGGAGCGCAGGCGCCTTGGGAAGCCAGGCAGGCTGCAGGAAGGACTCCCCTGAAGGAGCCCAGCTAACCCCTTCCCCAGGTATGCCCGCGGGTGCTGGGTGGCAGACAGCAGCCCACACCACGTTCTAGGGACATGTAAATGACAAAGTCAGTGCCTGCCTCTCTGCCAGTCCCTGGATCACTGATCCAATTTGCAAGCCATTAACATTCAGCCGGGATCAGTAATGAGAAGCTGTGTCAGAGCCAGGCTGCCCGGGCCGGGTGTGTCTGGTTAGTAATTGTATTGAAAAGCCACTAATTCCAATTTAATTGCTGTGCCTTCGGTAATCTGGGTTGTAGTTAATGTCAACAAACAAATTCTAACTTGGGCAAGGAGGCTTGTTGGGGAGAGGTGGACAGAGGAAACCAGTGGGCCAGTTTGCTTGAGGCTCTGTTCTCACCCCCCACACACTGCCGAGGACCAAACCCAATGACCACGGTGGCTGCGGGACCAGCTCTTTTCCCAGGGTCCTCTTCCTGTGGCTCCAGCAGACAGTCAGACCTGCCCAGCATGAACCTGAAGACAGGGACTGGCAAAGCCCCCAAGGGCTGTGTCCCTCTCCCCCACCTCAGCCCCGTCCCTCAGTCTTCCTTTCCCCAAACACCTGTCCCCAAAATGTGGCAGATGTGGCAGTGGCTGCCCTGACTGGGCCTCATACTTCCGTGGGGCTTTTCTGCTGGCAGGTACCACAGGAACCTGTCCTTCCTGGTTTCAGTGTACACTCCTAGGAGGTGGACCTTAAGCTCCAGCCAGAAACGGAGCCTCCAGGCACACAGCAGGCCAGAGCCACTGAGAGGAAGGCCAGACGGCTCTCTAGATTTCCACCGACACCTCCCCAGAGCGCCCACAGGCCCCCACAACCCTGCAGACACAGATACAAGGGGTGCCCCGCCATCCACACTGCTGGCCCATCCTCCCCCTGACCACCGCTGTGTTCCATTTCTCCACAGACTTGCCGATGCAGATCCTAAAGCCAGCGACCTTCACGGACACGGCCCACTACCCCTTGCTCCTAGTGGTGTGAGTACAGCTGCCTCTTTCCTTTTGTGTTGGGGCTCAAGACACCAGGAGAGGTGAACCTGAGCCTGGGGACAGATGAGCAGGGGAGACTAGAGTGCAAACACAGCACCCAGCCAGTTAAGACAGCCAGCAAAGGCCAGGTTCCTTCCATGGCTCCCAGAGACCCCGAGAGCCTGCAGGAGGGTGGAGGCCCCTCCCAGGCTACTCCAAGGCAGGCCGCCTCAAAGATAGCAAGTGCTTAGTCAGACACCAGGGATGGCTGATTGGCCGGCACCATGTTGAGCAACAGCAAAGATAGCTCACGGAGGGCAGCAGGGGACCTTCCTGAAGATAGCTCACGGAGGGCAGCAGGGGACCTTCCTGAAGATAGCTCATGGAGGATGGAGGGGACCTTCCT